TCTAATGCTCAGTTCATCTTTTGAAAACAACTATTTTTTTATTTGAAAAAAAAATCATGCCATTTTCCCATCAAAATCCAAGCCAAAAGATCGTACTACAACATCGGCAAATCTCTTCCGCGTTGCGTTCAACATATTTAAATGAGCTATGGTGATTTGAACACGTTGGCATCCTCCAGCATTTTGATTGGTTAATTAGCGATTTGACCTGTTAGCTCAACTCATGCAAGAGAAACATGGCGGATACCCATACAGCATCGAGCGTTCATATGCGATCGGAATCATTTGTTTACGATGAAACTAAGTTGAATTTTATTTGAATTTCATAACAATTCAACGAATTATTTTTTTGTGCCTTATTTATAATCACTACTGACTAATATTCAACAATTGTGAAACGCAGCATGACCGGATTGCGCAACCATGATCATTTGTTACTAGTACTACGCAATGCAGTTGTGTTTGTTTTTATTTGAAACTTTGTTTAGAATATACTTTCATTACCAATAAAATAGAAAACAAATGTATTTGAAAAATGACACTGGGCGACACTGTAATGACATTCCAGGTGGTCTACTTTTTAATTCAGCAAGAATTATTAATTATTGTTAATTCTGCAATAGTTTCTCTCGTCTTGGGTGGCCCAACTGACGGCATTGGAAGTTTGTGTAGTTAGATACTTCAATGGAAATGGAAGTCCCCAAAAATATTTGATGATTATTTTTTGAAATTTTGAGCCCCAAATAAGTGCCCACCAGCCGTGAGATCCCCGGGCGATTTTTCGGATGGGCGAATTAACGGCAGAATATAAAGAAAGTATTATTATGGACATCTCCCGCATATTGCCCATGTTTTATACTGTTTGTAGTTTGCATATGAAAGTGGATGCCCCTCCTATTATTCGACGTCGTTGACAATGCGATAACAATGCCACTCGCACTGTGCACATTTTTGCGCTAGATCTAGTGGCATTTTAGCGCTAGATCTAGTGCCATTTTAGCACTAGATCTAGTACTTTTTCGAATTAGTGCTACTAGTACTAACCACTCGCACGACGCCCATTTCGACACATTTACATACATGGATATCTGAATATTTATATTGTTCTAGGTGTGACAATACATTGTTCTTTGTGAAATCATCCATGAGACTGATATTTTCTAAATTTTCACAACGTTGGAAGTTTTTTTCATAGAAAAACTGTAGTCCCCCAGCTCTCTTTATGAAACCAACAACAACACATTTAAATACATTGTTTTGGAGCAAATACCTTTCCATCAAAAACAAAATCAGAATAACATTTTTTTACATGTGTACATAAATTCAATACTGATGCTGTGTATTTGTTTCGGTTTTAGATTATACACTTTAAAGATGTGGCAATCCGTGGAGATGTTATTATTTTAGTGTCAATGTGGCTGTGTTACAGAATAATTGGTCCAATGCTGGCGTCAGATGAGTTCATTCAGTTCAGCAACAGACTTCCAAATCAGGAAGTCTACACAACCTCTGAAATAGCTGAAGTATTTGAAAAATCATTTGATGTTCCATTGATTCTGCATCTGTTAGAGAAACTTGAGTTGTTGTTTCTATTCAAACCCGATCCTGAAGGTGATACCACCAACAATCAATATATCATACCTACACTACTACCTTATGAAATGCCACAGGAGCAGTGGGAGATGGGTGACTACAAGAACCACAAGGGGCGTAGTATAAAGTGCCACCAAGCCAACGACATGTTTTTACCATTACTGTTTTGCAAAGTACAGACGCGACTTTACCACATGTTTGAAGAGCTTGGATTTCCACCAAGTGGTATATGGAAGAATGGTATTAAACTGTGCCATGGAGTAGAAGGCCTGGTTCACCTGACTTCCAACAAAAGAGCCATACACATCATTGTAAGAGGTGAAAGTAATCAAGACACTGGTAGATGTTATCAACTGATTGATAAGGTTACCCAGTGTATTTATGCTGTTCGCAATGAAATATCTCCCGGATGTAATGTTGATCAAGTTATTCTCAGTCCAAGGTCCATTAAGATGTACCAAGACCCTGGTAAAGTTGCATCCTACTCAAATGACGTAATTCATGATGCAGTAGTTCAGAATATTGAAGTATATCATAAAGAAAAAGGATGGTCTGAGAAGGTTGAAGATTTACTATGTCCTGGATTTGACCCAACATTCCTGAAAGAGTTGCAGTACCAATGTGACATCAAATGGTTACTTCATGACACCAAGGAGGAGTTAATCAATATGCTTGAAGTTGAACGTGAAGACTCCCATGACCACAGAATGATGGCACGTTATATGGGTATATCTAATGATGAAAGACGAGCTATGGCGAGGAATCCTGAACGAAAGGTGACAGAGCAGCTATTTGAGAAATGGTCTTCAAGATGGGCTGAGAAAACACACAGAGATGGGCCAAAGGCAGAGAAGACAGGAAATGAGGGTCCCCCTAATCATGATATATACTACAATGAGAGCAGCATAGAAAACCTGTTACTCATCAGCAAGAAGTATCTGGAGACAGATTTGATGTACCTGAAGCAATACACAACATGTTTGAACAACTTGGAATACAACCACAAGGAAAAGTCGATAAAGATGATTTTGAATAACAATTTTCTTGAGTTTTTGAAAAGATGCAGGCCATCTCTACTCAGCAGATATAAACTGTTAATAAGTTTTCACGATAAATGAAGCAATTAATATTTGCACCCTAGCCATATAAGGAGTAGTTGTATTTACTATTTTAGTCATTTCTTTGTTCTCTGATGTCTGCGGACTAATTATTGACATATTGATAATAATGAATTTATATCTACATTCAATCAATGTTCACCATGCCTTGCACAATGTGCTAAATCCATATAAGTGTATTTTATTTTGATGATTAACTTTTTAAATAAAAATACTTGAAACATTTGACAGTTAATAGTATCAATATTCAATTCGTATAATCATTCAGTAAAAATTAATGTTACATAATTAGGCAGTAGCTATTCATTGAGTGTGATTTATTTACACTATTATTAGTAAAACTATGCAATGTGTATGTTGTAATAATATCACATCATATCATTTTATACTAGTAGCCTTTGCCCATATCTCCGCCAACTTGTGGCTGTTTTCCATCATCGAATAGGAACAGTCTTCCACCATCATACATCAGCAGATGTCTTCAACCAATGAGTGATAACTTTTCGCTGCCGACCACAATTCAGCAACTAGTGATAATCTATCATCAACTGAAGTGGTCTTTTCTCATCAAATACAACCATCTTTCTTCAAATATAACAACTAGTGACGTCTTTCCTCCCAATAGTGACATATCTTCTCTTCAGTTGATGAACTTTCTCCTGTCAACTAGTGAGATTTCCCTCCATCAACAAGCAGTGATCCTCGTCCATCAATTAGCATTCATGTTTTCTAGCAGCAACCTTCTCCACCTACGAGCGACGATCTGATTCTATAAACCAAAAGTGACCATCAACTATGACCAAACTTTCTCCATTAACTAGCAGTAACCATACTCACGACAGCATGCTTCCATCTAATACCATTGATCTTCTTTGGGAATGTTCTCTTTCATTCAACTGATAGTGGTCTTACTCCAACAAATAGTGTATCATCAGGACTCAACCAGCTTTCCTCCATAACCCATCAGTGGTGTTGCTCCACCAATAAGTGAAAGCCTTACTCCAGTGACAAGCAAAAAGATTTCTCTAGTGACCAGCAGTGACCCGACATCCATCAAGACTCAGCAGCGTTCCTCCATCACCCTTCAGCGGTGTTCCTCCACCAATAAATGAAAGCCTTACTCCAGTGACCAGCAGTAAACAGTTCTCTAGTGACCAGCAGTGACCCGACATCCATCAAGACTCAGCAGTGTTCCTCCATCACCCTTCAGCGGTGTCCCTCCACCAATAAATGAAAGCCTTACTTCAGTGACAAGCAGAAAGCCTTTCTCTAGTGACCAGCAGTGACCCGTCATCAATCAAGACTCAGCAGCGTTCCTCCATCACACATCACTTGTGTTCCACTATCAATAAGTGAAAGCCTTACTCCAGTGACAAGCAGTGGCACTTAATTCTGCAGCAGCAGCCTTTGTCCCGTAAACTATCTAAAGTCTTTCTCCATCAACAATCAGTTTTCATCCACCTCCAGCTGTTGACAGCCTTTCACATCAACCAATGACATCCTTCCTTCAACATGCCTTGTTTGGGTATACATTAGGATAAAATGTGACTCGCTTGTTAAACACCAACGCTACTTGTACGAATCTGAATAATGGCACGTTGTACTATGTCACTGTCTTTTCTATATTATAACCCACCATTAGCCAGATCATTATGAACTCAGTTAGATAGAATACAATTCTATATTCAAAGAATATTTCAAAATGAGAACAGAATCAAAGCTGTCAACATTCCCGGAATGTACAAATGTATTGCATTGTAAACTTTTCTATTTTATTATAATCACTGTTTATTATTATTTGTGTTATTTTTCATCTTATATTTTGATTTCTTCAAATAAATAGCAAAGGTGATCAAACTATATAATTGATGTATTTATTTATGGGATGTTCTTGGAGAGAATGTCATAGTGAAAGTTACGAATCTCACTACCACTATAACAACCAGTACATCATCTGAAATCTTGATATTGGCAAATATGGTAATGCCTATGCTGTACCAATGTTTCTCTGAAGAATTACTTGATGACCAATTTTATAAGTCCAAGTCAAGTTAGACTTTGCAATGTTTCCCTAATACTGTCTTACGTGTACTACATAGTGTGACTAGTTTGTGGACTATTTAATTACTCACTGTTTTTTAATAAGCTTTAATTATTATTCGCTAAGTAACTGGGAATATATATGTATAATATTCCTAGTGCTAATAATATGACAGAACCCCACACCCTGCCCGT